TTAACCTGAACTGTAAAATGTATTTCTACATGTAGATCCATTTTTAATTTGGTAGGGATTTCTACCTATCTATCTTTACTGTGTGATTTTTTTTTTCTCTTTTCAGTGATGATATCTCATTCTCTGGACAAAAAAGGAAGGCAGGGCTTATAGATCAGTCTGTTTGATGATGAGAGGAGTTTTTTTTTTTTTTTTCTCTAATGGTGTTGTTTTTTTGTTTCGTTATATAATAAAGTAGGGATAGTATTGTAAACCATACTCATTTAATTATTATGAAGACTATTTTAATATAGACAAAAACCTTGGAGCAGAGTCTAGCACATACTAATTATATCCTTAGGAACTATTGTTTATGTTCATGTTTTTTAAGTCTCAATGATTCACCATTGCCAACTAATAAAGTATAAATTCTTTAACATTACTTCAGGTTTTGTATAGGTGGCCAACGACCTTCATAAATCTTGTTTGTTTTTCTATTCTAGTAAAAGTTTTTATTGAAAGAAAATAAATCATTAAAATTAGCACAATCTGTTTCCACTACAGAGAGTTCCACACACATGCAAGGACAGGAAACTCAGTTCAGCTCAGCTCTGTGTGGATGCGAATCGATAAATCAGGAAGCAGAACTTTCCCTCACATCTCTTATCTAGCCACGGCACAGTCTCCTGTGCCTGATTTTCTCCTGAAAGCACCTTCCCTTGCTTCTGTACTTGTGACAGTGTAGCCTTTTGATTCTACAGCCCACTATTAGTTTATGTGTCTGTTAGACTAAACTTCTTTTTTTTTTTTTTCATTATCAAATGATTTAATAGAATTTACCCTGTTGTAACAATCAATCCTAAGTCAGAAAATCCTACACTATCATCATTTTCTGGTCAGTTCAAAAGTTGTACACATGAAATGTAATGTTACTCATGCTTTATGTAATTCTTATTCAAGAAACATATTTTGAGTACACTTTCTTTTTTTTTTTTTGTATTTTATTTTTTTCTTATCAGTTACATTTTATTAACTCTGTACCCCAGCCGTGTCCCAATCCCTCATTCCCTCCCAATCCCTCCCTCCCTCCCTCCTCTCCACCGTGCCCCTTGCCAAGTCCACTGATGGGGGGACCTCCTCCCCATTCATCTGATCCTGTTTTATCAGGTATCTTCAGGACTGGCTGCAAAGCTCTCCTCTGTGGCCTAACAGGACTGCTCCTCCCTTGGGGGGTGGGGAGGCCAAAGAGCCAGTCATTGAGTTCCTGTTAGAAATAGTCCTTGTTCCTCTCACTATGGGAAACCAATTGGTTACTGAGCTACCACAGGCTACATCTGAGCAGAGGTTCTAGGTTACATTCATACATGGTCCTTGGTTGCATGTCAGTCTCAGAAAAGGCCCTGTGCCCAGATATCTTTGGTCCTTGTGGAACTCCTATCCTTTCCTCATCAGACTAACTCCCCTTCTTTCTTATGATTCCCTGTACTCTGCCAAAGGTTTGGTCATGAGTCTTTGCTTTGAAAACACTGCTATTTAGAGTCTTTCCAATGCGCTCAGTAGACTCCTGTCATACGTTCAATGCACATCACATCTGTCATTCTAAACGAGGATTGATCATCTTACCCCATGTCCACTCTCTTGATTATCTTTTTTAGGTGTACAGATTTCATTATGTTTATCACATCTTATAGGTCTATATAAGTGAGTATATACCGTGTTTGTCTTTCTCCTTCTGGGATATTTCACTCAGGATGATCTTTTCTAGATCCCACCATTTGCCTGCAAATTTCATGATTTCCTCCTTTTTGATTGCTGAGTAGTATTCCATTGTGTAAAAATACCACAATTTCTGTACCCATTCCTCCGTTGATGGACATCTGGGTTGTTTCCAGGTTCTGGCTATTACAAATAAAGCTGCTATAAACATCGTTGAGCAAATATCCCTTTTGTGTACTGCCAAAAGCAATCTACAGATTCAATGCAATTCCCATCAAAATACCAACTCAATTCTTTACAGACCTTGAAAAAAAGATTCTCAGCTTCATATGGAGAAACAAAAAACCCAGAATCCCCAAAACAATCCTGTACAACAACAGATCATCTGGAGGTATCTCCATCTCCGATCTCAAGTTGTACTACAAAGCAATAGTAATAAAATCTGCATGGTATTGGCATAAAAACAGAAAGGAGGATCAATGGAACCGCATAGAAGACCCAGAAATAAACCCACACACCTATGAATACTCGATTTTTGACAAAGAAGCCAAAACCATTCAATGGAAAAAAGACAGCATCTTCAACAAATGGTGCTGGTCCAACTGGATGTCCACATGCAGAAAAATGAAAATAGATCTATATTTATCACCCTGCACAAAACTAAAGTCCAAGTGGATCAAAGACCTCAACATAAAACCAGATACTCTAAATCTGTTAGAAGAAAAAGTGGGGAACAGCCTAGAACTCATTGGCACAGGAGACAACTTCCTGAACAGAACACCAACAGCACAGGCTCTAAGAGCAACAATCAATAAATGGGACCTCATGAAACTGAACAGCTTCTGTAAAGCAAAGGACACTGTCATCAAAACAAAACACCTGCCTACAGATTGGGAAAGAATCTTCACTAACCCTTTATCGAGTATATACAAAGAACTAAAGAAGCTGAAAAGCAGCAAACCAAGTAATCCAATTAAAAAATGGGGAACAGAGCTAAACAGAGAATTCTCGACAGAGGAATATCGAATGGCAGAGAAACACTTAAAGAAAAGCTCATCCTCATTAGCCATCAGGGAAATGCAAATCAAAACAACCCTGAGATATCACCTTACACCCATCAGAATGGCCAAAATGAAAAACTCAAGGGACAACACATGCTGGAGAGGTTGTGGAGAAAGGGGAACCCTCCTCCACTGTTGGTGGGAATGTAAACTGGTACAACCACTCTGGAAATCTATCTGGCGCTTTCTAAGACAATTAGGAATAGTGCTTCCTCAAGACCCAGTTATACCACTGCTAGGTATATACCCAAAGTCTGCTCAAGTAGACTAAACTTCTAGTGAGGATCCTGGGACTATGGGCACTCTCGGCTTGTCCTTTCCTTCCTGTTTCAATCAGCTCCACCTTCTGTGGTTCCTCCAGGCTTACTCCAAAGAACAGCAGAGCCAATGCAGTGGGAAGCTTGTAACTACCACCCTATGCTCGCTTTCTTCCCAGCAACATTGCTGTTTCTAGCCTGGTTGTTTGTTATCACTACCCAGGTCGCTTCCTTTCTTCTTCACAAGTATGCGGAATTCAATGCTTCTGTGGATATTTTCATGCTTTTGTCCAAGCCCAGTGGCTGAGCAGAATATGTATCAATTATGCACCTTTATTCCAACTGTCATTCTGTGCTTTTGATTTCTGTGTTATTCAGTTATCATGCATTTTCCTGGAGATTTGGGAAGGACTAGGTAGAAAGAAAGTAAATGAAATTTTATGAAAAAAAATTTTTTTACATTCCTTCAGTGTAAATAGGCTATAAAAGGGGGTGAAGAGCTAGCCCAGTGGAGTAAAGTGCTTACTTCATACGCATTATGACCTGAGTTCACATCTCTAGCACTCTGTAGATCCTGCTGTGATAGCTCTGGTCTATAACTCTAGGTCAGAGTTGTGGGGTATTAGAGCAAAGACGGGTGGATCCCAGGTGCTTGCTGTCCAGTCAGTCCAACCAAAACAACCAAGTGAGCTACAGGTTCAGTGAGGGATCCATTGGGTGGGAAAAGGGATGCAGAGCAATAAACAGACAAAGATACCTAGAATTGACTTCTGAGCTTTACACATTCACAGGCAAGTGCAAGCAAACACACACACACACACACACACACACACACACACACACACACACCTATAGGAATAATTTGGAGTAGTAAGAAGGACTAGCTATCCCGGCGAGGTGGTGCACACCTGTAATTCCAGCACTCCGGGAGACAAAGGCAGGCAGACCTCTGTGAGTTCAAGGGCACCCTGATCTAAGAGTCCAGAACTGCCAAGGCTGCACAGAGAAACCCTGTTTCGAAAAACAAACAAACAAACAAAAAAAAAAAAACAAAGCAAAACAACGACAACAAAGGACTAGCTAATACTAGGTGTGGAGGTGAACTCCTAGAATCCCAGCACTCAGAGACAGAGGTGGATCTCTGTGAGGCCAGCCTGCTCTACAACAGCCAGAGCTCTGTTACACATGGAAACCCTGTCTCTAAACAAACAAACAAACAAACAAAAAGGACTAGTCAATGTCAACTACTAAAAGGTGTAAACACGTTCTAGTATTGTTACATGATTCAAAAGTCAAAATTGCTTGTCTCTGCGATTCTGTGCTGAAATATGCTGACATCTGAGTTGAGGGTGTTGTTGTTTGTTTGTTTTGGGGGGGAACTTGGATCATGCTAAGCAAATGCTGTATCACTGAGCTACATCCCCAGTGCTGGGCTTCTTGTTTTTTGTTTTTTGTTTTTTTTTTAATTATGTAAATCTTTTATAGCATGTTTTAAATTTGGGGGAGTATTTCAAATTTGGTAGCTCATAAACTGTAATCTACTATCGGTATAAAAATTTTCCTTTTGGGATATAAGTAGAAAATATTTTTCAAGCAAGTGTTGCTGAAACGACTACTGAAAGTCTCTGTGTCATGTGTTTTATAAGGGGACTTAATTTAACTAGCATGCTGCCTTTGAATATTGAAGTAGAATTTTAGATAAATGTGCTATATGATTCAAAATACCTCTCTAACCCAAGTGGCTCATTTTCATCAGAGGACATAGCAGTAGTCTGATATGTCATAGATCTCCTGAAAAAGCAAAATATATAATCAAAGTTTTCTATTTTGTCGTCTTGCATATTTTCTTGGTCATTCTTTATTTTGGATTATGATGATGATGATGATGATGATGATGATGATGATGATGATAATGCAGCATATATTTGACAGTATATGGAAATTATTATTTTTTGTTTCTTATTTGATCTTTTCTTGTTCCTCTTAGGGTAGAGCCTGGATCAGAGTAGCACTCATGGAAAAACATTTGTCTGAATACATCTCTACAGCTTTGAGAGACTTCAAAACAACCAGGTTTAAAAGTCCTTTCAATTTTCTAATATTTATGATTTGAAAATCAGAATAAAGAAGTAGTCTGAAGTTCTAAACTTTCAGGTCATCTCTTTTTCTTACTGTTCAGATAAACCTACTGTCTTCTTAGGAAAGTGTAATTTGTCATCTGAATATGCATTTGACTTACTACGTTGTGTAAAAAGAACACAAGGTGCCTGGAATGTCTTTTCTTTGAGTCGTTATAATTATCAGTCTTTCAGTGCTTGTAGCCATTCTCCCTATTCACTTTCCTCTGACAAGTTTGAAGGAAGTTCTAAGTATGAAATTCTTAGATATCTGGTCTCTTTTCCCAGTATATGCTTTCTTATTTCTTTGCTTGGGAAGACTACTAGTAGATCATTTATTTCTTTCACTCATATACAGAATTAATGGTGGCTTTGTTGTCTTTTCAGTGAACTCTTCGTAGGTACGATTTTCTAAGGTTACATAGATTTAAGGAATGGCCTACTATTTGCTCTGTGAAAATGAAGACCTTATTGCATCTTATTTGATAGTGAAAAGATTCAGACTAAGACAACAGTTATAAGTGTTTGTCCTTGGCTCATGATGTACACATGTTGCTGTTGATGATACTACCTTCCTCCAAGTAGTTGTAGATGAAAACATTTAATAATTTCATTACCTTAGACATATACTGTATGCTGTCAGTGCCACAAGACACTATATACGATAAAATTAATTAGGATTATATAAAATTTCAAATTGAGTGGTTTAGTTGCCATATTATATTTCAGGTAATTCATGCTTGGCAAGTTGTAAACCTCATCCCTTCTCAGAGAAAGTTCTGCTAGCTCAGGCTGCCTTAGTACTCCTAAATGGCTGTACTTCTTAACCTCATTCTTATTTCTGGAAAGGATGACAAAATGGCAGCTTTAAATCAGTTTTGATTAAGAAGATTAGGTATAAGGAAGTTACAAATCTGGAACTTTAATTTTCATGTCCGGATGTAGTATTTAATGTTCTAGATTTTAAGAAACTTGACATGTATTATGGTGTTCTTTTAGCTAGCTTATTGGTACAGATATTTACTTCAACTTTGTAGATAATAAATAAAATGGAAAGCTTTTAATTTGGCAGATACAAAGAAAAATTATTATGTTAATAAATTGGATCAGTAAAATGATTTTTAGCTATGAAAGTGTTTTAGTAAGATAAATGTAATATGTATTTATTGACTTTTTAAGCAACTTGATACTTTTGACATTTATCTAAAGATGGATAGTGAGATGATGATAAACTTTTAGACCTTTGAAATAAATCTGACAAAATGAAGTATTTATCATTACAAGGAGACAAACTTAATTATAAAAACAAATATTGAGGGTGCAAATGCTTTGAAAGTAAAACTAGAGCACAGTATCAGAATTTAGTATGCTAAACCAAAACATTCTAAATTAAAACTATGCTTATGTAATAATTACCTCTAATGTAATTATAATAGTTCATCTTTTCTAAGTAAACACTGAAACATCTCTCTTAAGTTGTTACTCCTGTGTTTTTGTTGAAATGATTGGGTGTGGTAGAAATAATTTTTGAATAGATTGTTTGTGGAACAAATAGTTTAAATATTAAAAGGAAACATTTTATTCTTGTCTTACATCTAGCCGTACTCTGATGAAAAAGGAAATGATTCAGCTCTAAACACAAAAGTCTCTGAACTAAAAAGTCTTGTAATAATATGTAAACATAGTCTATTCAAAGCAGAAATGTGTCTTAGTGCATATTACATGCATGTATGTATATATGCATAAATATATATTTCCTAATAAAGGTGCCTAAATGTGAATACAGTGGCTTTCTAATTCACAAAAAGGAAAGAAGACAAAGAGATTTCAGAATATTCTTTCTAGAAGGTGACTAATAAATTTGAAAGCCCAAAACCTTTTTTTTTTCGTTGTTTTACTATTTAATGCTGTTATTTTTTGCTGAAATAAAGCCAAATAAACTTTTTAATTATAAGTAATTTTAAGTGTGAATCCTTGGCCAGACACACACACTTGAGTTTGTAAAACCTAAGAGAAGTAGTGGAGAGAACAGTCAACATACCTTTCATCTGGATGCTCCCTGATGCATGTGCTCGTGCAGGAGGAGATTAATCCTTTAAGACTCTTGGGAGTATCTCAGTCAGGTGGGTTTCTTCTTGTTCTGTCTGACTTCACAGACAAAGAGAAATGATAGTCTCTAAAACAGTGACACCGTGTTCGCCCAGGGCATGGGGAGGAGCTAAGGCAGGCAACTTTGAAGCACTATTCTGTGACTATCCAAGGATCATTGTGGGTGGAGGAAGGGTGGGAGCTGAGGTACAAATTCTTGGAGCACATAACTGCCTTCAAAGTATGAAAGAATTTCATGTGAACTTCTTGCTGAGGGGGAAAGTGTCTGGAAAAAAAACATTCTTAGTTTTGTGTTTCAGGAATTTGGGTGCTATCTGGAGACAGCCAAAATTAGGAAGTGATAGAAATTAATCTAAGATTTTTTTTTTTCTTTTTAAGTGGAAAACTGCTTTGATAGCATCCTGGGAAATTTTTCAAATAAAAAGTGAATTTAAAACTGAATTAGCTTGCTCAAAGTTTAACTTCTGTCCACCCAAAGACTTAAAAAGAAATTAGAAATATTGAGCTTAATTACTGTTAATCTCTTAATGTGGTTTATTCATAGGTTAACTTTTGCCATCCTATGAGTATGTGGGAGAAGCCTAGCATACTAGTTGTTCCTGAGCTTTGTCTGCAGAATCTCATAGTATGTTGAAAATGTTGTGAGTCAAAACCACATTTAGTACACCAGCCTGCCAGGCAGTAGATCCTATTAAGACTTTAATAGTCTCAAAACTTTCATGTAGGCCCATGCTTGGGCAAGTACAACAGAAAGTCCATTTTTGTGTGTGTGTGTGTGTGTGTGTGTGTGTGTGTGTGTGTGTGTGTGTGTGTGTATAGTAACTGTGTGTATATATATATACACATATATATACATATATATACATATATATATATATATATATATATATATATATATACTTATAGTAACTGTGTGATGACATGATTAACTAGGAGCCACAGCTCACTGCCACTGTCCTCTTCCTACCCTGGTTAAAGTAAAATTTCAAAATCTGAAGTACAATTCTTATTGAGTGTCCACTGTTTTCTCAGTACCTTTAAGTAAAAAAAATTGGGAGCCGAACTTATAAATGGACTGTCTGTACAGATTTTGATATTATTTATAGTTGCAGGTATTCAGTATGTATCTTGGGGTGTTCTTCATACATGAGGAAAGCTTCTGTATTAAGATGAAAAAATAAACATTATTAAAAGTTGCTTTTGGATTGGCCTACCTCATGACTTTTACCAAAACCAAAGTAGGTCAGGCTTAAATACAAATTATTGAAAGAAAACATTATTTTAGTTTTCTGATCTAAAGAACTATTTCTTTGACATGATGTCCTATGTAAAAGGATCAAAAGAAAGAAAGAAATAATTGGGCATCAATATTTATAACTTGGTCCTTCAATAGACACCATCAAGAAACTAAGCAGAAGACCACAGAACAGGAAAAAATTAAAAATCGCATATCTGATAGAGAGCACGTATCTAGAATATATTTCAAACATTTGCCACTTGTTAATAAAAATAAACTTTTCTCTGATGGAGGTAGAAAAATTGTTTATAAATAGCAGAATAAAGCCCCTGATAGTTAATTTTTATTGGCAACTAGACAGAATTTGGACCTCTGGGTATATCTTGAAGATGAGATTTCCAGAGAAATTTAACCATGGAGAGATGATAAATCGTGAATGTAGGTGACACCATATGATTTGTGGTGTCCCCAACTGAATAAAAAGGAAAGGGGAGAAAGCCAGTTGAGTGCCCCTCCTTTTCTGTTTCCGGGTCTGCTGAAGCATGAGGACAGTGTTGTTCTCCTCTAGTGCACTCTACCCTCAAAGTGTGAGTCAAATTCAGCACCTTTGCTCCTAAATTGATTTTTCGCATATACTTGGTAGTAGCAGTAAGAAAGTAACTAGTGTAAAGCTCAACATTAGCTACTGTGAAATCCAAGTGAGAATCATAATGAAATGCTGTTTCATATCAAGTGGGATGTATATATACCAAAGATTACATGAAAGCAAATATTGATGAGAATTTGGAAATTTTGGATTCCCATTACATTGTTTGTTTGATCAATGTAATGTAAATGACACAGCCACTTTGTATATGGTCTTCAGTTCCTCAAAAATTTTAATGTAAAATTATCATAAGAACTAGCATATGCAGATAAATGGTGGGATCTGGAAAAGATTATCCTGAGTGAGCTATCCCAGAAGCAGAAAGATGCACACGGTATATACTCACTCATATAGACATATAATATAGGATAAATCTACTAAAATCTGTACACCTAAAGAAACTAATCAAGAGGGAGGACTCTGGCTAAAATGCTCAATCCTTATCCAGAAAGGCAAAGAGGATGGACATCAGAAGAAGGAGAAAAGAGGGAACAAGTCAGGAGCCTGACACAGAAGACCTCTGAAAGGCTCTGCCCTGCAGACTATCAATGCAGATGCTGAGACTTATGGGCAACCTTTGGGCAGAGTGCAGGGAATCTTATGAAAGAAGTGGGAAACAGTAAGATCTGGAGAGAACAGGAACTCCACAAGGAGAGCAACAGAACCAAAAAATCTGAGCAGAGGGGTCTTTCCTGAGACTGCTATTCCAACCAAGGACTATGCATGGAGATAACCTAAGACCCCTGCACAGATGTGCCCATGGCAGTTCAGTATCCAAGTGGGTTCCATTGTAATAGGAACAGAAACTGCCTCTGACATGAACTGATTGGTCTGCTCTTTAATTACCTCCCCCTGAGGGGGAAGCAGCATTACCAGGCCACAGAAGAAGATAATGCAGCCACTCCTTATGAGACCTAATTGACTAGGATCAGAAGGAAGGAAAAGAAGACCTCCCTTATCAGTG